GAATCCTGCAGTCTAAGTTTCACTGGGTTCTCAGGATGTTTGCTCATCAGGTTATCACTGATTATTATTTTAGTGTTTCGTTCATTATTTATATTATTTATTCCACCTGATATAGGATAATAAATTTCTTGCCTTCCACCATTTATGTTCGCATCTCTTAACGTTACTTTCCAATTCATTATACAACGGGATTTAAAACTAATATTCTAGAAATACAGCCACCAGTATTCTGTCACTAAGAAAAACCAAACATTTCCTAAATTAAAAAATAGTATTTTTAATCAGAAAGCCCATGCCAAAAAAAAAAATGTATTCTCCGTACCATATTCCGTGCATTGTATACTTTCTTTGGTTAAATTCAATTTTAAATGAAAAATGTATTTATTTTGTGTATGGAAGTTTTACAAGATAGGATTTACATTTTCAACAATAATTCTGTAAAGAAAAATTTTAAATTCTGTTGATGAAATTTGTCTTTAGTTGAAATTCATATTTGATTATTATTTTTGTATTGCTAAATCCGTTCTCAGTCAGCAAATTGAGTCTGCGTTCCACTTTATTTGATATGGCTATTGGAAAATATTGTCACTTTTTAAAGTTTATCACTCGCCTTTCTTAAGGCAACGGTACGAAACATATCCTCAGCCAATGGACTCATAGCAGCACGAGGAGGAGGCCATAGATGATGGGCAGAGCGAGCGGCCTATTACGTGATTATGGTTGGAGTGGAAAGTTGTCCATTTAGTTCTATTTTGAAGAAGTTACGAGGCAAACAGAATCTTCAATGCTTGTGATACTTTTTAAGGTGGGCTGACGACTATTTCATCATAATTCAACCGCATTCTGCATTTCACATATCCTTTACCCGGAAACATAGGCGCCGGCTTCGGGGGAACTGGAGGGACGATTGCCCTCTCCCAACAAAAATAGAGGGGGACCATAATAACGTTTCGCCCCCCTCCCTCCCCAATATTTTGAAGAAGAAAAATAAAATCAAAATTAATAACAATCAATCTATATGAATGAATAAAATATTTACATTAAAATCAATTAAGAAAATAGCAAAAGTCGATTAGATGGCTAGCCAAGACCTACAAGTATTTTACCACGCTCTAATTCCTATTATTATAATTTTAGTTATTTTTCAAAGATAATTATATGCGGCAACATATCATAGAATTTTATGGCTAATGAGTCATATATCATGTTCACCCTACTATTTTTATGTAAAGATTTCATTTCATTTTCCCCAGAAAATTTGAGCAATAAAAAGTTCATTGCCTTCTTTCTCCTCCCCCAACCAGAAACCAAAGTATGCGCCTATCCTCGGGAATACATTCTTTCATTTTCGGAAACATTCTTCTGTTTCCATTGACTTTCATAAAATAATCTAATTCGTAGTCATCTCCTATATTTATGGACGTTTGAAACAACATTGTATTACCCGTTCCACTGTGGCTATAACAGCTTGGTTACCTGTTGGATAAGCCGTCCTTGCTTACCTAACCCTCTTTGGAGAACATAAGGACATTAAGCCCAAACAATCAGCATTGTAATAGACTTATTGTTGACACGTAATGATACTTACTGGATGAAATATTAATAGCTTCTGCAATGTTGAAAACTGCCAAGGAGCCTCAAATAATTTAAGTAAGCAAATCAATATTCTGCTTTATATGTTTTATTCAATTTATAATTGAAATTATGGACTTTATCTTTGTTAAGAATAAATGAATTTGTTTTAAATCTATTGAATAGGAAATAAACCTATAACTGAATACTTGAAACTTCTGATATGTAATACACTTAAGATAGTAACTATAGCAGATCTTGTTACTACTACTTCTGAATTGGTTTCCTTCTATTAAATGAAACAGTTATTTTCAAAGTAACCAGATATTTTTACATTTATAAAGACATTTTTACTATCTTGATTCACAAAAATAAAGTCTGTTCAGTAAATTGGTATGGTTTCATCATCAGTTTTATTGGGTGAATAGTAATAAACATATGAGTGGCTTCATATAACAGACGGATATATTGTCATTTTAAAAAAGCGGAGAAAAAGTCAATTTTTGGTTTATAGTTTCAACTCAAAGTGTATCTGATGATTTTATTTAAGAATGTTCAAGTTGATTCATGAAAAAACATCATTAGAAATGATTTAAATTGAAGCTACGTAACAAAAAATCGGCTTTTTCTCAACTTTTCAAAAATAACAGATGTCCGTCTTTGATATGAAGCCAATCATATGTACCCATACCGAGCAATTATAATTGTATTTAAAACAGAAAAATAACCCAATAAGAACACGTCTAACCAACCATATTAAGTTTAAAAGCTCATATAAAACCTCCCATTGTCATGTTTACTGCTTTCTTTATTTCACCATTATTTTAATTATAGAACGAAAATTGTTGAAATTGATACCAGATCATTTATACATTATCTAAAAAAATTCTTCAAACATTGAACCTAATCGAAATAGCCATTTTGAAATATAGCTATAGAATAGCAAATACGTTTGCGCATCCATAGTTATTATACAGGCCGGATTTTCATAAAATTGATACCGTATCATTTTTAACTTGTTCCTTACTTCCTTCCAATACTGATCCTCACCGCGCCAATGCCAATCGTGCCATTTTTGATATATAGGCGTGGCACAGAATGTTTGCTCATCCAGAAGCGGAAGTAGTGGACGACATTTTTAGAAAATGGTAAGGAGCCGTCTACAATAACAGCCGCACAAATCCATGAAAATTTCATTAAAATTGGATTAACGGTAGGAGACGATATGTCCGTCACATAGATTCGATTAGGGAGTTCGCAGTAGTCCGAGCTTGTTTAAGCGTAGCCCGCAGTTTGAAATTTATTTAATGGCGGACCTTCTGAGATTAGCTATGAGATTTACGCAACATAAAAAATTTAAAAGTACTGAGATAAATTCATGATTGTATACTTATCAAAGTTGTTTCTTGCGACTGCAGGTAAAATGTCCAAATATCATCAGTTCTAATTGTCTTCTACGGGCACATTCAGAGATAAGTGACACGCAGTAAATGCACGGATTGAGGATTAAGTGGCGAAGCGGAAACCCCTTGAAGACGAGGAGGCGCTGTTAGGAGACAAAACAAGCCTCGGCTAAGTGCACGGGCGGCCATCAGGAAGGACGAAAGGTCAGGGTGTGGAGGCAGCGAGTGGCTCTCTACATTCCTCTCCAGCTTACTTTATTATTCTCTTGAGCTCCTGATGGAGCAGACCTTGGTAACGAGTGGAGCTGCTACAATTAGCCGATGACGGAGGGGCCCCGTGTCGCAATACTCTACAATACCCCTCCCCTCAGGTTCAGTTTGGTTCCCAGGGATAATGATTGCTAACCTTCATGTCGACCTTGCCCTCCCGACACAGATACACTTCGCAAATTATCATATTCATGATTTCGCAATGAGGGCAGTCAAAGCATTCGGTGAACACTTGACCCTTCTCATCTTATTCTCACTATTATCCAGTTAGTCCTTTTAAGAATATTTCTTGAATGAATCAATAATTATCGCATTCTTAGAATTAAATACACGTTGAATAAGATCAAGGCCGGAACTAGGGATTTCCCAGGAATTATAACTTGGTCTTCCTCATCCTTGGTCACTCCTTCCTTCATTCACTTCTCTCCCCAATTAAAATCAACAATTTTATAACAATATTTTAAGCACTATATTTCATTGACTAAATTAAGGTCAAAACAATCAAAATGTATCAAGGAATTTTTTTATTTTACTTAAAAATTGAATGTGTTGAAATGTACTGGTCCCAATTCCAAATTTTGCTTCGAAGGCACGCTTTGCCCCCACTTGATCCGATCCTGGAAAATTATATTAATTGAAACACTGTTTATAAAACCTTTTGGGACGTTCACGCGCTTTGGGTACTCTTTAAATATTACGAAAGTTCATTTAATCTTTATAACACGTATTGAAAGTAATACAGTAAAAATTAAAAAATAAATGTTTTATTAATAATCTTATACATTAATAAATATACTCCTGAATTTTTGTTAGTCACTATTTTTTTTTTGTTTCATTTGAATTGGTTGCGTACGAGAAAACAGCTAAACTGACGGTCTCGAAGGGTTTTTTTTCGGTTGTTTTATTGAAATCAAGGAATGTTTTAAGCAACAACAAACAACCTTTTATCCCCAACATTAAATAAAACAAAATGGCGGAGGAACAAAAACCTAGATGTTTTGTATGCTTTTGTTAACCAATTTAAACGAAACTTTTTATTGTTTTTTACTTAAACCCACAAAAAGGCTCTTATTCGTAATCTTAGGTTTCGCTTCCCAGCTCACCAATAGTTATCTACATACTTCCACATCCACCGAATTCGAGGGGCACATTTCGGCGGTGTCAAGAATTTTCGGAATGAAAAGTTTCGTACTAAGGGGTAAGGAGAAAACAGGGAACAGTCCGCAGCTAATGTAATTTTAAACATAAGTGTAATTTTATATCTATCTATGAGTGGAAAACTGTTGTATACCAAGACCACTTCTCCTTGGGCCGGCAAGATTTACTTGCAGTAGTGGTTTTTTGCTTAATGAGTATCATCCCACTGCTGCAATCACCCGTATTGTCTAATAGGCAGGGAAGGAGAGAAAATAAAGTAGAATTTTATATGATCGACGATATTTCTAATTCTACCCTCGGTTGCTCTGTTTTTTCAGAAAAGTGAGTAATAAAATATCTTGGAAGAGGGGAGTAGGTTTTTGCGCCAACGACCTTAGGAGGATGGGCACCCCTGTGTGGTATAGCCAACTTTGGCTGTTTAAAGAATGACTTGTAAGAGGGTTTGGCCGAACTGAAACGTTTGGTAACTATGTGCTGTTGCTTATCTCGCATCATAGCATATTATTGCATTCCTTTATAAATGTTTCCAGTCAGAAGTTTCGGAAAAATTACGGACAAAATTCGGACTTGTCCGAAATTAGTGTATTACCAATATTATTAGTGACCAGAGAATGGATATTGATTAGCGGGTAAGTGTAGAAATGTTTGTATTTTTCCATCATCAGTAACGGGAGGCAGTGGACGAGGGGCGTCGCCAATGGTGAGGTGTGGGATTGGAGCACCACCCGCTAGGCCCGACAAAAGGCCCCGCATTGGATATTGTACCCTGCCCGCTGTATTGTGCTAACCTTCTTCGCGGCTAATATCATTTCCCACCTCTCCGCCTCTTCTCCAAGGCCGCTACCGTGGAAAGGAGGAAGTTGGTCGCCATTTTGTTACGTTTTACCTTTTTATGTAATCCGCAGTAAATTGTGTTTGTTTTGGAATACCCTTCACCCAGAAAAAAATATATATTACTCTTCTTTGTTGCTGGATTCAAAAGTTTTCATTATATTAATCCGACAATAGGTTTTTATTATATTTGTACAACAATGTCTTCTTTCATCTTCTACTTAACTGTGGCCATTATTTTTTATTTTTTTATTTTGTTTTATATATCAGAAGAAGGTCTGTAGTGAGCTTCTTTTTTTTAGATATTACGTTTCAAATATGACGTTTTTTCATTTAATAATTTTAAATTGAGTCTGTTATGAATATTAACTTTGAAAACAATTTATTTGACATGTTTATAACAATTATTTTTGTCCATTTTGCAGGTTAGTACCGGAAAGGTTCGAGAATTCTCCAAGCATCCTGACGCTGTCACGGTTCGTAATATTACATTGCTTTGATAAATTATAATACACTTCATAGTTATGTCTAAATAGTACATTTGTTTCTTTTTAGTTTCCCCTTTTAAAATAAATTAAACTATCAAGTTTAAGTTAGTTAAAGTATCTTTCCTCTTCGATTGTTTTTATGATAGACCAGGAACATTTAATAAAACAATCATTAAAATAAAAAATAGCTTGGAACGTTTAACCTTTTTTTTGAACACACATTTGAAAATTTAATAATATTTCGATTATTAAAGTCATTCCTACTGAATATTTAGTTTTACTAATATCTACGAAGAGAATCTTACACGCACTCCACCGACAGTTGCTCTGTTCCCTTTTGCTTGTACCGATGAACATACTGTCATTAGTTCTGCCAAATCAACTTACCAGAAAGACGCTGTTACATTTTCCTTGTTTCCCGTTAGCATTTTTCATCGAATATAAAATAAAATTATTTCTTACTTTTTATAAAGGATTCAACTATCCAGTTCAATTTTTCTTCTAAAAAAATCTCAATTGATTTAAAAGGTTGTTATATTATTACCAGGCGTGTGGGAAAGGGGATATGTCAAAACCTTTTGTTTTTCGATTTTCATAAAAAATAAATCTAAACTGTGGTTTTATGGTTGACTGTAGTGAATAATTGAAGAGGATGGTTGGAGGGATCAGTCAGATTGAAATGGTCAAATTTCAATTTGACTAATCACTCCAACTATCCTTCTCTTCAAATAAACCTAAACTGTTTCGTGGAGTGAGAAATTTGAATCTGATCTCTATATTTGAGAAAACCGTTTTAAAAATTACTTTTTGGTATTGTCAGTATTTTGACCGACGTTAGTACGTCTATATTTTTGTACTAAAATTATTTGTCTACCTTCATCAAAGCCAAAGATACAAAATAAAATGTGTTTTGACCCTGTAAACTTCCGGATTTTTTTCCGGTACTCCGAAGGTGCTTTTGCTTCTAGTATTTGTAATATGAAAGCTTATTGAGCATAGATTAATCTTAAAAAGTATCATTAAAAACTGGGATTCTCTTCTTGTTAAATGTGAAATATGACAGTAGCGCACCACAGGCGGGCAGAATCCGGTCTGACCGGTCTTCGGGATCTGTCAACAGCCGCTAATGGTCATATCTTCTCCAGTACACCGATCGGTCAATTATCTTCCAGGACCTTCTTATATTTCAATCAAGATCATAGAGTTCAATGCCAAATCAAATATTATTCCAAGTTTTCACTTCAAGTGGGAGTATCTTAACAGTTAGGCGTGCGACTTATTATTTTTCTAAGTTCAATAACTATCATCGATCTTTTAGTGTAAACTATTGTGCGAAATTAGCTTACTCTTCTTTCCACACTCTTCAGGTTTAAATATCTGAACATTTCCTCACTAATTTGTCAAAATTTAACTTAATAAAAAAAAATGTATGGAAGAACCCATAAGACTTCTCAAATATGTTTTTATAATTTTTAATTAGATGTGGAAAAACAGGAGTAACCATCCCCTTAAGGACGATGGCCCATCCTTCGTTTCCGAGCAACTTCTACTGATAAAAAATGGTACAAAATGGAAGGAAATTTATACAAAATTTTAGTTTTGTTTTTTGCTCATTCCTTAGTATGGAGATTCGCTTCAATTAAAACGACACAGAAATATGGTTCGCTCCAATAATATATAACCACATAATTCATAAATATATAACATTTCTCCCTCGAACATTCTTAACTTCTTAAATGTTTGCTCCTCTCAAAGATTCAAATGGCGCAACTCGGGGTCTCTTTTTGAACACTCATATTAAAAAATGTACTGTTATGAGTTGTACGGATACTGTGTGAAAAACGAATTGTAAGAATTTGCTAACGGAAAATCCACTAATTTTTTATTTACCCTTAATCCAACTATTCCTATTAAAATGATGTCAATGATACTTCGATAGCTTAAATTGTTTAAACCGGGTATTATTTTCTTTTTATATCTTCCATAACAAACATATTTTAAATAATACTACTAAATTAATGATGATTTGTTGGTAATTCACTTTGGTATTTTAGTTGTATAAATTTTATTAAGGGTGTTTATTAGGAAATCATCATTAAATTACTTTTCTTCTCATCTAAATGTATCGTTTCATTCTTTTAATACATCAATGCTGACGTTAATTATTATTTGATTTCAATTATTTTTATAATCAGTTAATTTTTATAATCAGCTTGTATGGTTTGTAGGTATTTGTAAAATCGCAAAATTTCACATACTTTTCTTTTTTAAGTAAAAACTTGTTTTTTTGCGCTTAGTACTTTTTTGTAGGTATTGAATGAGACTGGACCGTGACGCTGGGCTATGTTACGCTCATTCGGGTTAAGTCGGCTCGAGTTAACTAACTATTTTATTGGATTAAAATACTCCAGAAACTTAAAAAAAAAAAAATTTTAATTTAATTAAAATTAGTATTTTTAATTTTTAAAATCGGACCTGCGTACTGAATGTGAGGGGAATATTCAGCATGTCATCCTCTTCCTAATAAACTATTTTTCAAAACTGTATCTTGACGCGACACTGTCAGAGAGGCAAATACGGAAAAAGATATTGTCCAAATCAAATAAGGAGGGTTTTTGATCATTTGGATTAAAATATCTCAAAATCTAAAATTAGGACCTGCATAGTGTAAGTGAGGGAAATTCACAGCATTTCATTCTCTTTGTAATAAGCTACAATTCAAAATTGTATTCTGATATGTCGCCGAGCTAGTGTGAAAAAGATAGCGTCACACAACCAAATATTAACGACTGTTTTGAACATTTGGACTAAAATATATCAAAATTTAAATACCATTGAGAATTCAGAAACCTGTTTGCAGAAGTCAATATAGATATTTTTTTAATTAGCTGTAAAAATGAGAAATTGATTGTTTCTATTCGATTTATAGTGTTTAGACAAATTACTGACCCCCGTTTCAGAAGTTATATTAAAAAAAAGTACCAAGACTGTGTAATTGTCTTATATTAATTGATGTATCACTGTATACGAATACGTAAATATTTATATACAATACAATCTATATATTATTTCTAAAAGGGGTTTTTTTGTCGGTATGCCATAACTTCGTCAATTCTTCATCAAATTCAATTATTGACCACTCATTTTGAAGATATTCTTCTCCTTCACATGCGAAAAATAGTCCCATCCCCCCGAAATTTCTGGGAAAAAGTTATGGAGGAAAAGAAAGTGTATTTGTGAATAACTCAAAAAGTATGCATTTTTAAATAGGATAGTCTGTGGTACAGACCCCTTTTTATCGAATTATTAACATCCAGCTGAATTTTCGTAAATACCTTCGTCTCATCTTAATCTACACCTATGTTATTTACGAAAACTTTAGGAATTGGGGAGTTTTCAATCAGAAGGGGGGCAAACTTTGTCTATTTAATGAAGGTCTAAAAACACATTTGCTTTCTACTTGGATCGTAAGATAATTTGATCACAAAATCGAGAATAAAGATGACCTCCAAAAATATTGAGCCATTTGGCGTGACCTACACCCCCATTTCAAAATAACAAGATTATATAGGACAATCGGCCCAATATTTTTGTAGGCCACTTTTTTTTATCTATTTTGTGATCAAATTATCTTACGATCCAAGTAGAAAGGAAATGTGTATTACGAGTTTTTAGTACCTCATTAAATAGACAAAGTTTGCCCCCCCCCCTCCAGATTGAAAACGCCGCAGTTCCTAGAGTAATATATAGTTAGGGTAATATTGCAATCAAAAAGTATGCATTTTTTTCTGATTCTACCTATATTAGAAAGATTACTAAATTATCTTCAAAACAACAAAAAATCGTAAAAATCGGACAATTATTGACAAAGATACAGTCCATTAGTTTTGGTATACTTAATAATGTCTTCCTGTTTGAAGATATTGCATTTAGGAGTAGAATAATCTACCAGGTTTTTTTTCCTGGCTTTTATATTGACTTTATTATTTCTTAAAGACATTTGGTTATTCTTACATTTTATTTTTTTTAATAATTTAGAAAATCCTATGATCCGGAAATTACTTTTATTATCTTTCCAGTCAGTGTTTAAAAATAGGTGCTAGCAAAGCAATTTGTACAAATATTTTGGTCTATTATGTTTAATGTAATATTGTAACCGACCAAGGAAAAAATATTAATTACTTCCTTACATAATACATACGAACTACTTATTTAAATATTGTTTTGTTATTTTTTCAATAAACAAAATTTTCTGCGAATTATTTGCACGGGCCAACTAGTTGTTTATATTGTAAACGTTATAATTTGTGTATATAGAGCAAAAAGAAAATATGTATATTTCATATTATAAAACCGTTAAAAAAAATTAAACCGGCCTTGTTGATGTTTTCACCTCTATCGTGTGGTCTTGAGCAAACATTTTTTTTTTTTTTTAAAACCCAATCTATGTTCAATAAATGAGAATCAACTAAAAGAAGAATAGGAATAGCGTTTTTTATCGGAATCACGGAAGCGGAGGAGCTATACCTGGCTGGAAGAGGCCGTCCTTGATGGGGCAGGCTGGAGCGGCCTGGAGTGCCCTCGCTCCAGCGGTGGCCAGTCCGCAGGCTGCCGCCGAGATGGTACCACAGCCCAGCATGGTGAGTCCCCTCCTCTTCTCCACTTCGTACCTCACTTATCTATCTCTCTCTCTCTCCTTTAACTCTTCATATCTTATTTTAATTTATCTTTATAAATTTAAATGTTTGTCTTGAGTCTTGTTAATTTTTATTTTTAATTAAAAAAGTAGGATGTTATTTGATTTTTTTTTATATATAATTGGAAACTTATGAGAAGTTTGTTTCGGTTTTCCTCCACTCGTTTTACTTTAAGCAACTTCTCTTATACAAAAATCATAGATAACAATTATTCAAATTCTTAGTGCTATAGAAATTTAAATTACCCGATTAAAATTCTTACTTTTTCTATTATAGTACTTAAATTATTTTATCAGGCATTAATCCTTGGTCTATAAAATATGTTGTTGTTTTTTTCAAATTGTAACATGTTTATAGAATAATAATACAATCTGTCACATTGAAGAGCAACAAGTATTTAGGGGCTATAAGTGTTCATTCATAAAATATGCATATCCAAAAGGGAAATTAATATAAATTAATAAAATAAAATAAATAATAATAAAATAAATAATAATAATAAATATAGAGCTTAAAAAATACTAGATACAAATGAAAATTCAGCTAAAATGTCAAATTGTAATAAATTACTGTTTGCTAATCAGTATTATTAAGGTATTATTATTTGAATATCACATATGTTTTGAATTTTTAAAAAACAATATAAAAGAATGATAATTATTTAATTATTCAGTTAATTTTATAGTTAGAGGAGGCCAAGATTCAGTGAGGGTTGTACAAAAATTCATAATATTATAACCAAAGCTATTCGGAAATGATTAAAATTAAATTTTAAAACTTGTGTTTCGTATATATTATTCTTTCTAAAAACTTTGATATTCTTAATCTATTAAGAATTCGTTAATCGACTCCTCGCAATTAATTCAAATTTTTATGTTTGTCTTGAGTCTTGTTAATTTTTATTTTTAATTTAAAAAGTAGGATGTTATTTGGATTTTTTTTTTATATATAATTGCCAACTTATGAAAAGTTTGTTTCGGTTTTCCTCCACTCGTTTTACTTTAAACAACTTCTCTTATACAAAAATCATAGATAACAATTATTCAAATTCTTAGTGCTATAGAACTTTAAATTACCCGATTAAATTTCTTATTTTCTATTATAGTACTTAAATTATTTTACCGGACTATAAATCCTTGGTCTATAAAATATGTTTTTTTGTTTTTTTCAAATTGTAACATGTTTATAGAATAACAATACAATCTGCCACATTGAAGATCAACAAGTATCAGAGGCTATAAGTGTTCATTCATAAAATATGCATATCCAAAAGGGAAATTAATATAAATAATTAAAAATAAATATAGAGCTTAAAAAATATATAGATTTGATGTTGTCATAAAATAATAATTATATTTATTACTAGATACAAATTAAAATCCAGCTAAATTGTCAAGTTTTAGTAAATCACTGTTTGCTAATCACTATTAGTATTATTTGAATATTACATATTTTGAATAGTTTTGAATTTAAAAAAAAAAACAAGATAAAAGAATGATAATTATTTTGAGGACAAGACCCAGTGAGGGTTGTACACAAATTCATAATATTATAACCAAAGCTATTCGGAAAGGATTAAAATTAAATTTTAAAAACTCGTTTTTTATATATATTATTTTTTCTAAAAACTTTGATTATCTTAATCTATTAAGAATTCGTTAATCGACTGCTTGCAATTCATTCAAATTTTTAAATGTTATTTATTACTTTTGTTTTTAGGGAGAGCTAGGCGGTGTGGAGTACTGTATTTTTAGGCTATCTTGCAGCAATTGTCTGAAAAACATTGAAAAATATTTGTGTATTTTTTTTTTTATAATTCTTAAGAATATCACTCCTAACATTATTAGTGATTTCTCGAAACTATATTTCATACAGATTTACTGCAACAATAATAAAGAATTCGAGCTAGTGATCCAAACCCAAAAAGCCCTTCTACGCTCGTTAGAAATACAGAGACATTTCAATCTCTCATTATGTTGAGGACTTGTCAACATGGATGGCCTTTACTCGCTAGTTGTAGTCTCTTGTGGTCGACCGGACCGTGGAGCATTATTGGTGTCACAGTGTCGGAAATTACGACATTTTCGTTTTAATATAAGTTCACATTTGTAAACACCGAAATATTTTTACGACTAGCTCCTGTTGCTCGCTTAGTTTTTAAAAAATAGTATGATAAATATAATAAATGTTCTAGTAGTACATGTAATAGATAAAAGAAATTTTGTTTTCTTTTGGGTGTAATTATTTCGGTGTTAGCAAAATAACTGGATCATAAAATAAAAAAATCGAATAGGCTCAGCTGTCAATCATCTTTTTGTAGGTAAGAAAATCCGACTATAAATCATCTAACAATTGTTAAAATTATTTTTCAACTCAACTGTGTCATTGATGGATATAGCGAGTTTTGATTATCGAAGTCTTATATACACAATTAAGTTTTATTTTCGGTCACTTTGTAGTTCAAATGTCTCTTGTATTTGTCATTTATATAGAGTGAGGAACCACCAGTTAAAAAATATATTATTAAATATGAATAAGACCCGACATTGTTGTTGGGCTGGAGGCGGAGAGAAGTGGCATAGTTGCACGCCGGTGGATCGGGAACGAGAGTTGGCTGTCATTGGAGCATCCAATTAGCTACGAGCGAGTACTACCGACCAATATTGGCTCCTTCGTAATTGGCTGCTTCGTCTCGTCCAATCGCCGATGCTGAGATATGCAGTAAACTTTCGGCCATCTTTTATAACTTACGGTCTCATAAATTTCGCAGCAGATGTAGGCTGATTATGGTTTTAAACAAGAGAATACTTAACCAAAATATGGTTAAACGTTTAGTTTTTATTAGGTTTCCATAAAAGTTCTTCTTCAATTTATTATAACGTTTTTTTTTTTTTTTTTATATAAAAAAGTTATACTGATATATAAAATGTATTATTATTATGCTTTTTGTTCACATTTTAGAAATTTATATACTCAAATTATCAAATTCTTAGTATCCGTCTAAAACTTCTTGAATGGCTTTATCTATCCACTACATACAATTTTTTTATCTACGAAAATTATCAGAAATGGGTCGTTTTCTCTTTGAATCAATTAATTTAACGATATACTTAAAAACTCACGAATACCCATCTGCTTTTCACTTGAATTGAAAGATAATTCCTTTACAAAATCGAGAAATAAGGTGGCTAATAAAGATATTGTGTTTGACCTATATGACCTCGTTATTTTGACATGTTGGAAGTGAAGCACACGCCAAACAACGTCCCAATTTTTCGGTAGGCATCCCTTTTTGTGATTTTGTGATCAAATTATCCTACAACTCAAATAAAAAGCGAATGAGTGTTCATGAATTTTCAGCACCTCGTTAAATCGACAGTTTAGCGATCTCGAGATTGAAAACTCTCTATTTCCGATAGTTTTCGTAAATAAGACAACTGTAGCTTTCGGTAAGATAAAGCCTTTCACAAAATTTTTGACATATTTATATCGAAAAATTCGTGAAAAGCTTCCTTTTAATAAAATAACAAGATATATATATGTATATATTGCATGTACTTATATTGTTATTCATGATAAATAAAATGGTGGATAAGAAAAAAAATATCGATAGATGTCAACAATTTGATTAAATGGGACTGCGGACTAATAGTCCAATTGACTGGATGTAATACCTGCGCTCTATTTTAATTTTTTTTTTTTTTTTTTTTTTTATCTCGCTATATTAAGAAAAAGAATTATCCATCTTTTCTAAAATTTTCTTTAATTTACGTATTGAATACGATACTAATTTTTATTGAAATTGCTGTTTCCACTTGTAAACCATTTGTTCAATGGGGCACCTATACCATTTGGTGCCCAGAGTTGATTAATGCTAGGAGCTTCCTAAAAACAATTAATAAATTAAATAAAACAGGCAATTTGTTAGTTTTAAAAAATAACCTTCTCCTCTAATTAAAAAAAATGCTTCCGTATTAAAATTATCATCGAATTAAGGAGAAATATAAATACAATTATAATTAGATCCCTCTTGTAGGATCCTCTTAAAACGCAGGGTCAGAGGCAGATACCCTAAACACGAATGGATTGTTTGAAATAAAGTTTCATTTGCAGTTTTTTGTAAAAGCAAAAATAGTAGAAGAAATTAATGTGCTAGAAGTTGTAACGAATTAACAAAAGAAAACTTCTTATATGAAAACAGACCTTAATTTCGAGGCTTTTAATTAGGCTCTTTGAAGCTATTTTAAAATATTATCGTTTTTAAAGTCTATCCACCACAGGAGATAAATGACTTTAAATAATTTGTTTTCGTCGTCATCTTATGCTGAAAACGTTAAATTCATTTTATTCATTTATTGCTTTATGTCTCTAATTTCATATATTATTCGATAAAGAAGAAAACAAAAACAAAAATCCTGAAAAAAAGTATAAACTATAGCATTCAATCTACACCAATCACATTTAAAATTATTGACTTAAACGTAAAAAATATTTTAAAACATTCGATTGGGGTTCTAGGAATAATGTTCAAATTATGCTTAGCCATTCAACTATTTTAAAGATATTTATTTTATTTCTAATAGAGCTTGGGTAATTTGTTTTAATACATTACTTAAATTACTCCGTCCCCTTAAAAACTATACTTTTGATATCTATCTCAGTGTTATTTATGTATGTATTTCATGCTAATGTTATTGATTTCCATATGGGAGGTATAGCAGGTAGGGACGGGTATGGTATCTGTGAACCCTCTGCCAAGACTTCCACTGATAGTGTGTCACTCACTCTCTCTGATAGCTAGGAGTTCTTCCTTTGTAAATTTAACACCTCTATTTAATACTATTTAATAATCTAATAAATGCATAATTTCTTCCCCAAAATAGTCCTAGATTTTAGACACCAATATAGATTTTTTTTTGTTATCTCTCTATTGTATAAATAG